TACCACTCTCCGCGCTCACATTATCTCATCTCCCTGCCGCCTTTTGAACTTCTCCGCAGCGTAGAGCAAAAGGCTCGTATTTCCTGTGTATTTCACGATTTTTTTCCTTTTTCTCCACTGGCGGTCCACTCCCATCCCTACTTTCACATTTGAGTGGAATTACCTCATCAGTTTAATCCTGATTCTTGCCTCTAAGCGCGGTGTAAAGTTTTCGAGTAAAGCAATCTACGACGAAAAAGAGGCATGTGCCAACATCATGGCACAGAAAATTCAAATAAAAGGAGCAGAAAAAGTTGTTCATGAACATACCAAACCAAGAGGAAATTCCCAATCGAATCTATCACTCTCCATGGGAACAAGTAAGAAAGAACCACAACAAATATGATTGCCAAAGTTACTTTCCACTTGAAAAGCTCGTAGTCCTAAAACGGTTTAAAAGTAATGAAAAGTCGTCCATAGAAGATTGGAAAATAGCAAATACTGGTAAGATGTATACCGCACCGTTTTGTACTTATATTTATCATTCTTCGTTAACAAGGATAAATTGAGATCTTTTCCTGAAAAATTTGACCATTTCGATGGAGTAAAAAGGAGCGAATCAAAAAGTCATACCCAAAATTAGCGAAAGATAGAAGCCGTTTTTTTGCACTGGCAATTCAGACTCCATTGATTCCAACCTCGCTAGAATGTCAGTCATTTCTTTGTGAATATTCGCCACTACTTCTTTCTCTTCGGAAGTAGAAGCACTGTCTTCAGCCCTAAAGTTGATAATTCATAGTTTATCATAACGGTGCAGAAGCTGATCTACACCCTGCAGATCTGCATGTTACAGTGGCCGATGTCAGACTTTGCGATTGGAGCGATTTTGCACCAATTGCAGGAGCGACGGATCGCTTGAGCGATGCGAGCGACGGGAGATTTACGACTGATGGCGCCGAATTATCGGTGGTCGGCGGTGTAAATCTCCCGTCGCTCGCATCGCTCAAGCGATCCGTCGCTCCTGCAATTGGTGCAAAATCGCTCCAATCGCAAAGTCTGACATCGGCCAGTAGAGCGCTTCATTGATTAAAACAAAACACGAATGAAGGTTAAAAACTGCACTTACTTTTGCAATGTTTCCCTGAGATTCTCAGAAATGTGATCTCGTGCTATGGTTTTGAGGCATGATTCCTGCACTTTCGTTAGCTCCGACAGCTTCTTCATGTACTCATGGTGCACGGTCTAAAACTTCATGAAGATATTCATAGAAGTTCAGTGGTAGTCAAGAAATGTCTCGCTATCATCTAATTAATCAGAACACTCTTAATATCTACATAATCAAGGTGACAGTATTTATCCATGTGTAGTTGCGGAACGGCACTCATATCTAATCAACATTCAGAGCACAGGTTCCGAGTGTACGATTAGATAGGGATATCAACTCGAGAACTGCGCTATAAAACCGGATACTGCCACTTTACTAGATTTATATAGTGACCCCCCCCCTCAAACTAACATTTCACCTTTCATGGTAGCGGCTCATTTTCTATCCGGAAAAACGCCCAAGAAAAGACTCACATTACCAAACGACACCCTACGGGCGCGAACTGGTATCCAGTCAACCGAGAACTACACTTTTCCCGACTCGGCTACTCAAAACCGGACCCAACTAGGACGACACTAACGCTGATATTGTACATTGTCTGCCCTCTCACCAACCCAGAGTGTAATGTATGTTGGTCAAACACGAAGTGAAATCACTGCGATTCTGAAAATGCGTGGCGCATCTTTAAAAAAATAAAGATTGATGTAGGCCAACGAGTCCATTTTACTTTTGAATGGAAACAGAGGTATGATAGCAATCTCCAATAGGCAAATAAATTCTGAGAAAAAAAAAGAGCATAAGAATGTTCGGCGTAACAGTCGTAAAAAGAGCTTTCATACTCTAAATCCCAAAAATCCCTCTGTTGGAATGTTATGCCTACCAGATCAGAAGGAAGCACGATAAATGCATACAAACCTCCATTTTTGAAAGTTCCTTCGTGAGGTCACCCCATTCCGCTGTCAGCGAGGAAGACATTGTTGCCAGATGTGTATGAATCCTTCTTATTCAGCTGGTTCACCTTTTCTTGGAGTTATACACTAGAAATTCTTTTAGCTCCATATCATCATCTAACAGTACAAACAATTCTAGATCTACACTTTCACTACTTCAGTGACAGTAACTTCCGTATAAATATCTATGCCACGAACATTTTCCAGACAAAGAGAACAGCTAAAGCTTTCAAAATGTTCATATAAATCTAAGATCGTTTACAATACGGCTAATACTGTTTTGGGAAGAAAGTGACAATTTGGACCATAAAACATGGGCAACGCTAAAATTGGGAGCAGGACTGGACGGACGATATCCACCATCCGGAAGCCATAGAGATTTTTGCTCTTGATCCAACTATCACATACCGAAACACAATACCAGACGGCTGGTGGATCGCGTACCTCCCAGCGCACAATTGATTCGAGAATTTTCACAGGCAACAAAGTAAGGAGAGAACGCAGGCTTTGCACAATAAGACGATTTCATGACTATAATAAAATTACAAAGCACACATAACTTAAGAAAACATACCTTGAAGGCCAGTAAAGAATTTTGAGCAATAGTACAATATGTTTGGTGAGAATGTGAGATGAAAATGTGATTAGTAAAATGGTAGCATGCATCGGGAAACACATTAAGCTCAACTTATTAACTTTCAAGTATGAAGAGACTGGCACAAGAGTGGAAAATACTGGATATCGAGCCGAAACAAAGGAAAGAGACACAACTCTCAACGTCAAGTACTCTGTGTCAACGAAAAAAGGGGCAGTTTTCATCACCGGAAATCATTGATTAGCTAGGAACGGAAGGATAGGCGTGAAGGTCGAATCTCGTGAGATCTTGTTCAGCCCTATTCCACTTTTCGAATTTGCAGGACATAACCAGCAAGCATACGAATGGTTAAGAATAAAAGGTAGAGCTGTTGTTGCTGATCAACCCCTTTATGAAACTCATCACCCATCCGACTCTCTATTCGAAGCCATCGATGCAGTGGAATATTTGGCAGACAAAGGCGCCGCGGGAGATCTGGCGAACAAAATACTGCTTTATCCCTCTAGGAGGCATCGCAGATGTATCAACCAAAACCCAACGGAATGAAAGTTTAACTTTCTGACTTTTGATTCCGGTAAGCGGCGTCATGTACTACTAAGTTAGTTTCACCGGAAGATGCAAGCCGAAATAAAGGTCAGAATGACGCTTGCTTGAAAGTATGAGAAAGCTTCGAATCGATAATTGGAAAACGATGGCGGGGGCGGCCGGCCGCGGGGGGCGCGGCCTACATATTAAGGAGCTTCAGGAGGTAAAATCTAAAATCCTTATTAATCTTTCTAGAAATAACATGCTTCATATCCAATGGAGGAATTCGACGAGGGTTGAATGCCTATGAAAAAAACTGAGGAAAAGGAGAGCAGAATCAAGCTCCGAATTTCAAAATTAAAGGCAGCGATCACGACGATTAAAGGGTAATACGGTCTTACATGGATTAGACCTCTCAGCAAGCGGGGAATACGGTTGGGACCACCTCCCAACGCACTTTTACCAATGACGTTCAATGACGTCCCCAAAACCACACCACCCTCAACCATCACGATCACTGTCATTATGGATATTCCGGTGACAAAAACGGCCCACTGCCTTTGAATCCGATGCAAATTAGGTGAAAAAACAATAATAATAAATGGCAATTCATGTACTAAATTTGATATATCCACAGGCTAATCTAACATTCGAATGAAAACTTCCACAAGAGCATGAATGGTGTCTTAGTGTAGAAAAACAACATGGAAACTAGCAATGGAAATTATAACCTAAAGGAGATGCATAAAGAAGATGAAGCTCACATTTAATGTGTTCCGTTTTTTGAAAATCAAAAAAGCCCATGAGGTAAAAAAAAAGAAAAGAAGAAAAACAGAGAATAGCTAAAGCCGGAAACCTGATTATTAAAAACTTGCACATTTGACCGCACATATAATTGGGACTAACACCAGCCTGGGTGCATCAATGACTTGAAGTCCATAGGGTAAAAAAAGAAGTTAGGGTACTTGAGTGGGCAGTTACAGATATCTTTTCTAACAAATTTTGAGCAATCAAAACAAAATACAAAATAAAAGGTACCACACGCTTAATTTGACCCCCAAACGCTACCAGTAGCTTTCTGATATAAACAATAGCACTGTGCAAATTAGTTAGAGAAAGAGTGGAGGAAGGTGAGCTGGAAGGAAAGAGACTAAAGACTAGACTGGTAACAGCGGCATAACGCTGAGTTATTAGAAGATATAAAAAAGAATTAATTACCAAAGGGCTATTAAATAGCCGTTTCCCGTTCAAAAGTCGCACACATACTATTGATTGTGGGAGCTGCACTTCTCGCCCTTCCTGACACAGCGGTGCTCACTGTACGGCCTTCGTCACGCTGTACGTCCGTTGGAACACCATCTTTCTCTTCGTTCAACTAAACAATGACTGTTATTTGAAGGGAATCCTTCTCAATGAAGCGTTAGCCATATCAGCAAAGTAATTTTCCTAGGATCAGATTACATTAAAAAAAACACGATTTAGCTACACTTCTAAGCAAGTTCCATCTCCGGCCGAAAAGAAAAGGTCACTATGTCGAGGAGGGGAGTCGCATTTTAGTGGTTGCGAGAGGGGAATGGGGTCGTTTTTGACGGGTTTTTGATAACTTTGGGGAATGCAAAACAGAGAAAGTTGAAGAATTCACTGCTTCTCCAGACTTCAGAGAGGGAGTCGTATCAAGACCCCTCTACGAGGAAGAGGTGCTAAAATTTTGAGATCGGCCTAACGCCACGGTTTACACTTCCTCCAACCCCCAACTCAAACGCGTAGAGAATTGACAGGGTGAACTGAAGGAATACTCTGGGAAAACGAAGGAAAATAGAAAGAAATGTGAGAAGATGTGAGCGAGTACAACTTCCGTGAATCTGCGCATATTTACTGAATCCATAAACTCACCCCAGTTCGACTTCCAATAACTTCGACTTCAGGAGAGATAAGAAGACGGCGAGCTTCCGGAATTTGAAGTGGGAACTGTTCAGCTCTGTGAACCGCTAAGGCCGGTCCCCATGAGTCGTCTGGATTGAGCACACTAGCCCATTTCTAAAAATATTGGCATCACCAAAAACCTCACTTTACACACTAAAATTAAAACAGAATCATTAAAGGGGCAGAGGTAGAAAGACAGTCGACCTAAGTCCCTGTAATGTCAAGCATCGAGTTGGGGCTCCATTTTTGCGCGGCGCAAGGAGTGTGCGCAATCGCCCACCGTTAGCCTGTCACAGCAAGACATTATCGTAGGTAAACCGACACCTTACTGGGCGGAAGCTACCAATAGCCTTCCTAGTGTGCTGCGGGTGATATCATAAAAGGCCCACTTAGATGCCTGATCCTACTCTTCGCGCGCCAAGACAATGGTCAATCAACGGGTGTTTTCACACTTTCCGCAGCTTTCTCTTGGTTTTTCTCACTCCACTTCAAGCCTAAATTCGCAGTGAACTCGCTCCATCGCTGCCCATGAAGCTTTCGCCACGACGATCAAAATGGCCTAGATCTTCCACGTTGGCACTTAGGCCGAGGCCGTCTCGCAGTATCACTTGATTACGCCACTTGAAAGAAATTCTCATCTCGATCGTTACAGCGATGTGGCACGCACCTTTATAATGTCAGTGCCACTTCGAATTCTGGTCCTCGACGAAAAACGTCGCTCGTCCAAGGAGGTAAATGCGCACCCCTCCAGCGGTTACCCCCCTAGCTGTAGAATACTTAACTCCTCTTGAGCCCCTATCGACTGGCGTTTACGCTCACGAGTCCGCGTACCGACGCGGCTGCGCCTCATCGGCGTTTTTCCCTCTCACACAGCTCACTCACCACGTGTCTCTCCGTCCCATCGATCACCTCAAAAGAATTTCATGCTGCTTTCTATGGTACTATTTGAGCCTTTCACCACACCAGTGGGAAATTCTTTCGACTTCTTAGGAATAAATTTTCAAAATGATTCATAAACCATCTTGATCCGCCATGCCGTGTCTTATAATAGACAAAAGTGCGATAAACCACCGATTGTCCCAAAGAACAATGAGAATGCGAGTAAGTGCGAGCGAGGGTCACCGGAAATGCTAAAACAGAAGCCGGACATCTTTTGATGCCGAAGGCAATGGCACGCATGTCAACAAGGCGAGCGCCGACTAGAAAATGCACTAGACAAGCATCGCTAGGTTCCAAAGAATGCCCAACTTCGGTGCCGTGGAAGGTAATAATAACGGCAAACCGGCTAATGGAGTCGACGCAGTCTTTTTCAGGATGCCTAACTTCGGTGCAAGATAGACAGATAATAAATAACGGCAGCCTAAATGAGAGTGAACCCAATCATCTGGATATATAGAAATACTTACACTTACACTTATGTGCACTATTGCACCCACCATCGAAGCAGCAATTGTCTATCAACCGTCGCTGTCATGATGCCAGTGTTCAGCTTCGTCCGAACGATCTCTGTATTATCGGTAAGCCCATCCACTTTCAAAATCAAAAGGCGTAAAAGGTTTCCATTCATCGGGTTTTTGACCATTTCTCGTGTTTTTCTTTACGGAGCACAACTTGGCACCTTTCGTTTTCCTATTTCAACGGTATCAGTTTCAAGGTAAGCGATCACGCTGGCTTCCACGTGGATCGCCGAACTCCGCGTTATCAACCGATAAGGTCGGAGATAGATAGTGGTTGGACGAGCGTAACCCTATGGAAGATACGATACGATTAGATAAGAAGATACGGCTGCTTGAATGAGGTGCACTCCAGCATGAAAATCGAACGATAACGATAACCGTATCATATCTAGCACGCTGCTACTGCATCCCTTCCACGTCTGATAAGGAGGTGTAACGCCGAACCGGAAGTGGGTTTCGGCCACTGCCCCTGAAGCGTCACCTGTCGTCCCATTGGGTAGGACCCCTACCCAATCCACTATGTCACTTTCCCTATCGTCTCCATAGGAATTTCCGTGACCACTTCCTTCAAACGGGAGCTGCCTTTCAATGACCACTGAGACGATCTTCCTCGCCTGTGCTTCTTTGAGCGTAATTATGTACGGCTAGTGATTACTGTAACGGGAAAGGAACTGGACGAGGAAAAAAGCTGGAGAATTGAGAGTTCGCTATCAAGTCAAGTGTAACTGATTGACTCCAGATTATAAGCAAGACAATAAAGATAAACAAATCTTCTTCAAAACACCATTATGCAAAATGCAGAGAATATTTCCTCTTTTAAAACATAAAGCAACAAAATATCCTGTCAAAAAGAGCACAAACCTGCGACAACGATCCTCTGGCAGAGAAAATTTGAATAACTGCCACTATCGGTACGAATGAAAGCGGAAATATACTGATCGCCCATCCGAGCAACGACGTCCAATAAGGGAAGATATACGATTC